CTGAAATAGATGGGTGTAAAGTATTGATTATATTGACTGTTTCCACCATCCTGCTAACTCCGACCTGCATACTCCATACTGTGTGTATACCCCGACAGTACTCCCTGTATCCCCCTACTAATACTCCCTGTATATCCCGACAATACTCCCTGTATCCCCCTACTAATACTCCCTGTATATCCCGACAATACTCCCTGTATCCCCCTACTAATACTCCCTGTATATCCCGACAATACTCTCTGAATATCCCTACTAATACTCCCTTTATCCCCCTAATACTCTCTGAATATCCCTACTTATACTCCCTGTATCCCTCTACTAATATTCCCTGTATTCCCTACCAGTACTCCCTCTTTCCCCCTACTAATGCTCCCTGTATCCCTCTACTAATACTCCCTGTATCCCCCTAATACTCCCTGTATCCCCCTACTAATACTCCCTGTATCCCCCTAATACTCTCTGAATATCCCTACTAATACTCCCTGTATCCCTCTACTAATACTCCCTCTACAAATACTCCCTGTACCCTCTACTAATACTCCCTGTATCCCCCTACTAATACTCCCTGTATCCCTCTACTAATACTCCCTGTATCCCCCTAATACTCCCTGTATCCCCCTACTAATACTCCCTGTATCCCTCTACTAATGCTCCCTGTATCCCCCTACTAATACTCCCTGTATTCCCTACTAGTACCCCCTCTTTCCCCCTACTAATACTCTCTGTATCCACCAGCTAATTCTTCAGGTATACCCTATCTCATTATTCCCCATATGCCCCCTACCACTACTCTCTGGATATCCAATACTCACTGCCTACCTTGTAATGTTTATTATTTAACCCTTCTAATCATTCCTGTTCCACCATTGCTCCCTATCTCTCCCCTCTCAATACTCCCTTAGTACTTCCTTCCTAGGAGTATCCATATCGGACTGGTTTTAACGCAGGACTGTCCATTCTCTACAATTTCAACCATTAAATAAAACATTGAAATTAATCTATAACTTGTGTTTCTCTTTCTACGAGAAGATTTGTCATGTTAAATTGATATTATCGATTTAACAGATGACATAATAATCCAGTTCATACAGGGTATAGTCACGGCACACATTGCAAATGAGAAGCAGACATAGAAACAATATTCATTTTCTCCTTCTCTCTATATGCTCTCTCTATGCTGACTGCCAGGTGTACAAAACAGAGCTTATAACCAGAGGCGTAACTAGAAACCAGCAGGCCCCGGTGCAGAATACCATGCCCTCCCTCCCCTCATAGGTCTCATCCCAACCTAGCCCCTCCATGTGTCTCGTCCCCCCCTTCTGTGTGTCTCAATTTCCTCTCTCAGTCCCTTCCATGTGTCAGTTTCACTCCCCCAAATCCTTCCATGTGTCTCAATGCCCCCCTGGTCCCTTCCATATCCAGACCCCCAGTTTACATCCATATATCTTAATCCCCCCCCCCCCAGTTCCTTCCACGTTTAAACCCACCCAGTCCCTTCCATGTGTCTCAGTTCCCCCCTTCCCCTTCCATTTGTCTCAATCCCCATGCTCGGACCTTCCACGTGTCAGTCCCCACAGTCCCTTTCAGTGTCTTAATTCCCCTGTCACTTCCATGTGCTTATCCCCCCACCGATCCCTTCCATGTCCTCCCCCAGTCCCTACTATGTGTTTAAATCCCCCCTCCCCCAATACCTTCCAGGTGTCTCAATTGGCCCTCCAGTCCTTTTCATGTGTAAATTTCCCCACCATGTGTCTCAATTGCATGTGTTTCATTTCCACCTGTGTCCATTCCATGTGTCTCAATTAAGCCCCAGTCCCTTTCATGTGTAAATCCCCTCCACATGTGTCTCAGTTCCCCCTGTGTCCCTTTCATGTGTCTCAACCCCTCCCCCATGCCTCCATGTGTCATTCCCCTGCCCAACTCCCTTCCCCCCCCATCCTTTCCATGTGTCTCTCCCCCATTCTCCTCTGTACCTGCTCTCTGCTGTCTATGTAGTGTGGCCAAGCGGACTTTGGTGGAAGTACTCTCTGTGAGCACTTCCAGTCAGACCGGGTAGAGGGAAACAGAAGCTCCTCTACTCGCAGTCCGTTCAGCCACTCTACATGCTTTGACCGGCAGGAAGGGAGCGCTGTGCTGTGGGCTCCTCTCCTGCCAGTCACCCTCTATCCATGAGCCTGGGCCAGTGCAGCTGTGCACCAGCCCTGAAGTGATGGTGGCCCAGAAACGCAGCTGCGGCTGGGCCCCTTGGAGCTACAGGCTCAGTCACAGCTGCGATCCCTGCGACTGTGTTACGTACGCCACTGCTTATAACAATGACTGACAGTTGCTGCATAGATAGGTGTGTATTTCTACAATTAATTTTACTTTTCATACCTAACAAAAACATATTTGGTAAATATCAGTAAGCTTAATATAAAAAAACCTAAACAGTGACACGTCTCCTTTAATTCAGTATAAATATTGGATCCCCCTGGATCTCCCATTTGTCCACATTTTGGTACATGGTGTACGTACTTGGGATATGTAGCAGCGACCTTGAGGTTCCCATCAGCAGTGGGTGTTATCATGGTGGTGCACATCTTCATGTGACCCCTCTTGGCTTGGAAGCAGTTGGAATTGGAAGCTATTCCAAAGCTGTACCATTTTCCTGTAATCTGAAAACAAAAACAGTGATGGTCACTCTACTACCTACCTGGCTCATTTAACCCCCTTGGGGGCCATTCACCCCTGAGATGAACCTGCTGGTATTTACTGAGGGGAACTTAGCATCAGCAACTTAACAGCTCGTGGCCTGTAGGCTTCCATGTGAAGTCAAGTGGCCACTAAACTTTGCTTCTAGAATAAAACCTGTGTGTGCCGGAGTGTAGGGCAAGATTTCTTAAAGTCTTCTGGCACACAAAAAGTTTAATCCATCTCTTCAGGAACATAACAGAATTGGGTTACTCAGTGACATTTATTTGTTCTGCTTATATTCCGTGGCTACATTTTAATCTTCTCCATTTGAATTGTTAGCTCTTCAGACAGTTGTTTATTTGCTGGATGGATCCAGAAATTTTAAGCAAATTTAAGAAATTACGTCTGAGGTTGCTGCACCTGCTCATACTTTTAATAAATCTATTCCTGGATTTAATAGTTTTAGTTTTTTTGTCATTTTTCTAGATAAACGATTTATCAGATGTATACATATAAAATTTGTATTTTTCACTTTATTTTATGCACAATGTTGAAATATGAAAACATAATGAAATAAAACATTGAATCAGTATGGATTAAGACTAGATTGTGTGCGTTGTTACTCTAAATGTGAGTTTCAGTCCACATTCTACCAATTCTGCCCTCACCATATGCCAAGCCGTTTAGAGACTCGTTCCAATGCTGATTTCTGAGTTTTATTTATTTTGTCATTTTCCCTGATCGATATCACACAATCTTATGCACCATGAATTAATGATCGATTAATGATCGATGCAGAGCATCTGGGTGTACTGTAACTTTCTACTCTAAGACATATAGTCAGCTGCAAGTACCCCCCACCAACCGATATTGTACATGTCTATCTGTCTGTCTGGGTTATTAACTAAAGTGAGAATTCAAAGTAAATTCGATTTAAGTGTCATATTTAAAGCCAGAATATTTGAACCGACAGCATAACTGACTTAGAGAACTTTTTGCTATTTTGATCTTAAATCTGAAAATCACTTTTATTCCTCACTTTAGTGAATTACTCTGAGTATGTCAGACTGTGTATATAAAACTTTAACATTGTACATGTGCCTCCTACTTACTTTGTCCTCCTTGAAGTCTGGCTGAATGGGGACATCAGCCAACGCATACCACGAACACGCAGCCACCACCAAGGTCAGACTAAGCATATTTCTCATCATGGTCCTGTCTTGGTCCCAAACACTGGAGATAGTAGCTTCTGTGTCAGTGTGAGAGGTACTGGGTCTGTAGAATTTATATACCCCGTGGCACAACTTGATCCCAGGCTATGTGACACATGGGATGGATTTTGACAAGTCTAAACATCAGCTCAGGGCAAAGAATGTTATATTATGTCCTTGTTGGTTGGAGGGGATGGTGGATGAAGGGTGCTGTGTCATCACTTTTTTGTCCTTACCAGCTGTGAACCACGTTCAATTTTTTATTTATTTATTTATAAAATATTCCTTAGTTTGTGATAACAAGGACTTTGTGGAACCTGTTTTTTTTGTGATGTGACACTGTGCTTTTGTTAAATTGATATTAAATCTGACATTCCTGGATGCCTGAGGCCATACAGCCCTCACGCTATAAGATACACTGTATGTTCTTTGAACATGATACAATAAAACAGATTGAGATCCCTTGTTTACTCTCGAGCTTGGCAATAAACGTTTACTGCTGACAAGATAAATCCCGACTGGAACGCTGGTGGCCTTGGGGCTGGTTACTCTATAGAAAAGAAAAATAGTAAGGAGAAATCCTCCCGTAGCACGACGAGGGGAATCCTCCCACTAGAGCTACCCCAAGAGAAGTGTAACTATACAGGCTAGTATAACTAGAAACAACTTTAATATGAATATGACATAAGTTGCACATATAAGTTAAACATCCCACAAAGTAGAAAGACTTTAAACGTGTGTTAGGCTGGAAGGTACCAGCAATCAGTCACAATTAAATCAATCTGTGAGAGCTTGAGACAAAGTTACCACACTTGTAGCAAACATAGTAGTTAATTGTAGAAACAATGTCTCAAAATATGCTCACAAGGTAGAGAATGTGAATGATTATCATAGAGTTACTTTATAATTAACAATAGACTCCTGTTTACAACTTTGACAACAAAGAGTATTAAGAGATTCCTTTACAAAGATTAACCATTTCATAGTTACAAACATTTTAGATAAAAATATGAAATCAGGTATTAAAATCTCGAAAACAATGGTAACGTTACCCAAGCCAGGCAAACCACCCAATGTCTGCGAAAACCTTAGACCCATCTCCTTATTAAATGCAGACATAAAACTTTACGCAAAGCTATGGGCATCTAGGATCAAACCCATACTAGCAGACTTAGTGTCATAGAAACAAGCAGGCTTTGTGCCCGGCAGACAAGCATGCGACAACACCAGACACTTCATAAACTTAATAAATTGGGCCAGGGCTAGCAAACAAGGGGGGACGGTTCTGGCGCTCGATGCCGAAAAGGCGTTCGATCGTTTCAACTGGGAGTATATGAAACTAACGCTCACAAAACCGGGCTTCTCAACACACACACTGGGGGACTTATGGCTCTCTACCAAACCCCATCAGCTAGAGTCTTCAACTCTGGGTTCGTCTCCGAGCCGTTTAATATCAGCAATGGCACACGCCAGGGGTGCCCACTTTCGCCCCTGTTGTTTATTCTAAGCATCGAACCAGTCATCCACCGCATAAAGTCACATCCAGGTATAAGAGGTCTCACCACTCCAGCAAGGGTTTCAAAGATCGCGCTGTTTGCGGACGATGTTCTGCTATACCTCACTGACCCACACACATCCATCTCAAAACCAAATGGACCTACTGACACAGTATAGGAAAGTCTCATACTACAAAAACAACCTTACAAAAACCCAGGCCCTACCCATTGGCATCCACTCCTCTGCCGTACAATCGTTAAAAAAATCCCACCCCTTTGACTGGAGGAAAACCTCTCTAAAATACGTGGGCATCAATCTAACAAAATCTGCTGCCCATTTGATACAGGAGAACCACCAGCCAGTAATCCATAAAATACAGGTCCAACTAGATTCATGGCAGAGTCTGGAAGTGTCGTGGCTGGGGAGAGTACACGCCACCAAAATGATGGCACTGCCCCATGTGTTGTACCTCTTTCGTACGATACCTGTGGAGCTACCAGACAAAATCTTGAAGAGGTTCCAATCCGTCTTCAACGCTTACAGTTAGAAACCCCCAAGAATAGCAAAGCGTATAGCATGGCAAAGCCCTGCAAAAGGAGGCTTAGGTATCCTGAATGTGAAATCCTATTACAAAGCGGCAATAATGGCACAAGGACTGGGAGTCCTGTCAAATGCCAAACCTCCGATTTGGATACAATTGGAGGATGCTTGCTTGCACCCAAACAAACTAAAACACATACTACGGGCATGCACAAAATGGGACCCTAAACATCATGGGCACCTACCTAGCACACGCTTCTTGATCCGCAACTGGGCAAGATGGGCCCGCACACTCACGGGTACAGAAAACCTCATATTCTTTGCCCCTACCAGTAGACTTTTATCTCTATCTGAAGACATACCCATAAAATGCTGGATACAAAATGGGGTAGAATTAATTCACCAACTATAAACCACACAAGGCCTTAAACCATTCACAGAGCTACAAACTGAATTTAATCTGCCAGCCAGAGTCATCTTCACATACATTAGATTAAAACACATCACACACACTCATACAATATACAACACATTGAGGAGTCTCGACTCACCAAATTTGGACTGTACTGTATAGGCAAAGGCACTCTCCCTATGCTACAATGCCATAAATAGCGTGGATCCACTGACAAAACATAACTAAATGGAGCAGTGGGAGAAAGAACTCAACACTTCTATACCTATACCTCTATAGCTTCAAGCCATACAAACCACCAAAGCATTCTCACACAACCTATCCCACTAGGAGGCATATTGCAAGATCTTAATGAGGTGGTATCTGGTCCCGGCCAGGCTAGCACATATGTATCACAATGTTTCCCCTTTATGCTGGAGATGTGGCCTACACGTAGGATCTCTTAGACACATTTTCTGGGATTGCCCCATATTGGCAGCAAATAAAAGAAACCCTTACCTGGATCATGACGACACCAGTCCCGTTCAAACCTGAATGTTATCTCCTACATATCTCCCCAACCCTCTTCTCTACACAACAAAAGGTTGTTGCCATACACATCCTGGCTGCAGCTAAAATTAGTATAGCAGGCCACTGGAAAGGGATTAACATGCCACCGTTCACAGAGGTCTGGAACAGGGTAGACTCTACATACAAATATGAGCGTGTGGCATATAGACTCCAGGGCAAGGAGGAGATGCACGGAAATGGGCTAGTTGAACAGACAACCGGCCGACATTAAAAGCCCCATAGTGCAAAACACACGGAAATAAACAAGATACGGCCTCTCCACGACATCTCTGCACTGTGAATGTTTACATGGTGTGTTCAATAAAAACATGGCAACATTTCATTCTTTGTGTGTTATTAGTTTAAGTAGACTGTGATTGTCTATTGTTGTGACTTAGATGATGATCAGATCACATTTTATGACCAATTTGTGCAGAAATCCATATCATTCCAAAGGGTTCACATACTTTTTCTTGCTACTGTAGGTTACCACGGCTCATCTGTTATGGCTACTAGTCATAGGCGGAGTGCTTCCAGGTTAAGGGACAAGAAAGTTGTCTTTTTCACTGATAGCATGTCGGTAGTGGACGCAGTAAATAACTCGTCAGCTTCTTCAGTCCCAGTGGTTCGGCTGCTACATCGATATGTCCTACATTGTATGCAATTTAATCTTGTTTTTCATGCACATCATCTGCTGGGTTTCTTGAAAGCTGATTCCCTTTCTCGTTTCCTGTGGGCAAAATTCCGTAATAAGCATAAGCTCCGGAAGCCCACGCAGAAGGTTTACCTTGCCCGATCGAACTGTGGCGTCTCGGAACTTCATGCTTGCAGGGCTAATCAGAGAGTCATTGGAGCAAAGCACGTAGTCCGCGTCAGGGCCGCCATCAGGGCATGACAACCGTAACGGTTGTCATGGGCCCGGCGCTCCTGGGGGGCCTGGACTGCTCAGGTCGTCCGGGCCCCACATTCAGTGGGTACATACCGGGTCGCAGGGGGCCCTGCGACCCGGTATGTACCCACTGGGCCAGCCTCTTCTCCTGGGGGGCCTAGAAGCCGGTAACCTCAGGGCCCCCCAGAGGCTGGCACTGCTGACACCCGGCGCGTGGGCCGACGCGCCAGGGAACACTCTCCTCTGTGTGCTTCCTCTTCAGCTCCCTCGCGCACCGCACTGATGCCGTCATCTTCCGGCGCTGGCATCAGTACGCGGCGCGCGAGGGAGCTGAAGAGGAAGCACACAGAGGAGAGTGCTCTCTCGCGCTCCCGTCGTGTGTCAGGGGGAGAGGCAGGACATTTGAGGGGGGGAGAGGAAGGAGGAAATTTGAGGAGGGGGGGGGAGAAGGAGGGAACTTGAGGAGGGAGGTAAAGGGAAGGAAATTTGAGGGGGGAGAGGAAGGAAATTTGAGGGAGGGAGAGGAAGGAAATTTGAGGGGGGGAGAGGAAGGAAATTTGAGGGGGGAGGGAGAGGAAGGAAATTTGAGGGAGGGGCGAGAGGAAGGAAATTTGAGGGAGGGAGGGAGAGGAAGGAAATTTGAGGGGGAGAGGAAGGAAATTTGTGGGGGAGAGGAGAGGAAGGAAATTTTGAGGAGGGGAGAGAGAGGAAGGTAATTGAGGGGGTGAGAGGAAGGAGATTTGAGGAGGGGGAGAGGTTGAACTGAGGAGGGGGAGAGGAAGGAAATTTGAGGGGGGAGGGAGGGAAGGAAATTTGAGGAGGGGAGAGGAAGGAAATTTGAGGGAGGGGGGGATAGGAAGGAAATTGGAGAGGGATGGGGAGAAGAAGGAAATTGGAGAGAGGGGGAGAAGAAGGAAATTGGAGAGAGAGAGGGGGAGAAGAAGGAAATTGGAGAGAGGGAGGGGGAGAAGAAGAAAATTGGAGGGGGAGGGGGAGAGATTGACATCCATCACAAACACACAATGCACCCCTTGCACACAGAAAAACACACAATGCATTACACACAGACACACATACACAAGCAATGCATCCCTTACACACACTCAATGCATCCCTTACAGACGCACACACTGCATCCCATACATACACAAACTCACCTTGCAGCCCTTACACATACAAACACAGATTCACATAATGCATTCCTTACACACA